CCTCCTTCATATGGCCCGTTTTACAGAACCCCAATACACTGTTACTCCTTTCCCCTTGAGTTTTTTATTGTTGGTAGTTTTTTTGTTGGAAAACCGCTCCGATAGGGGTGCCGGTTTTGCTTCAGCAAGAACAAATGTTAGAGGTACTCCCGTACGTGATGTGTGCACGTTCCAATCTAAAAACTCTCGCACAAGCGCCGTGGCTTTTGCATCGACTGCCCCTCTGCTTCACGGGCGAGAAATACCCACCTCTACGTATTTCCTTCAACAGTGCAAGCTATTTTACCCTACACTCTACTCCTAACCCCACCGCAGCTACAGGACAATAGGCGCGTTCCGGCCGGGATTAACCCTCCGACATGGGTTCTCAGGCGAGGACGGAACGCGCCCGGCAGACGACGAGAACGTTTTTTGTCACACCGCCTGGAATTGAGACAGAAGGTCCACACACCAACATCAGTTGAGGGTGTACATCACCATGTACTCCAAGAATACACCATAGGAGAGCCTGCGATTGAAGCCCACCTGACACAGCAGGCTTCGCGTTTAACCTATTTTGAACGTGGCGGTATCGAATGTATCATAACGAATCTGGCGCGCATGGGAGCAGCCGGACTTCAGCCACATTGATCGGCACCATCACAAACCCCTACCTCCCTTGTCACTGCGTGCGTGTGTGTGCCGACAACATAGCCTGAGGACATGAGGATGCTCCGTGCAATTCTAGGAAGGAAGAGCAGCTGGGGGAGTCTCCGCGAGCTAGTCTTGCGGGATCATCTGCGGGATAGTGCCCCTCTTGGAGGCGGAAGGATGTGCCGATGTGGACGCGGCCCTGAACCATATTTTTCCCGATGAGGATCGACGCCCGACCATCCTCTTTTACGACAAGGCCTGCGTTCTGGGCCGCTACTTGAGCGGCCGAGGGGATCTGTCCTGGGTTGGAACGATGCTGATCGTCGACCGGTACGTGACACGTGGGCCTGTGTTTCCAAAGCACCCGGGGCAAGTCAACGAGAGACTACGTACACCTCGGCCTAAAGTAGGGCGTGCTCACTGTAGGTAAGTTACTCACAGCAGCAGGTTGGGCGTTCTAAGTTGTAGTTTGCGGGGCGTTGGGGGTGACGTGTACAGTGTGTCCAAACTCCAACTTGGAATGAAGTGCCGTCGTCGAACACATACCCCTGCCGTACCCAATACCCGTGTTGTGCGCATATCGTTACTGTGGACGCCGGCAGGTTCCATTATCGGGGCCATACGGAGCTTGCGTTGTCTATCCTCAACAACCCAAACGACTACAACAACCCTCTTCTGTGGAACTTGCAGCAAGACCCACCCAAGTTCTACTGGAACTCCTCTATTGCCGAGTCCAACAACGGGTGGCTAAGCGGTGCGTCAGATACACCCTGCGTCGAACCAATAGCAGTTTTTGGTTAACACCGTCATTACAGCCCCCCGTTGATGTATTTTCCTCGCCGTCTCACTCGTAATCCGTGTTGTTTCATCCATTAAGGCTAAGTACCTCCAACTACGTTAACTACCCTCACTTGTTCTGAAACGCATGCCTCAATTGTTGACCAGGGGTTCGACATGTCCTCATGCGCATGCCAAAGGCGCTGAACCGTTTCGTCTTGGACAACAACATCTGCTTCAAGAACGAGCTCCTGCTCACCAAAAAGCTGTTGTCCCAGCACCCGACCTTTGACCGTTAGTGAAGCACGTACAACACATACTTCCGGAACGGCAGGTTGAAGACGTCAGGAACCGCACAGCTCCCGCTGCCCTCTTTTTCGTCCTCCTACGGTGTGTCGAGAGCGGGCCAACATTCCTACCGATCCGAGTTCCCTGGTGCTCTCTACCTAGCAGAGTGGAATTCCACCCGCACAGATGTCCTGGGGTGATGGGCTGAAGGATGCACGTGTTTATGGCTACACCATTCGCGCTGCCTAATGGGGCTGCTTTACGTACATTCGAGCCGTTTAGGTTGCTTCCTCTTATCTAGCTGCGTCATGTCACTTTGATCGGCGACGTTTCCTACTACAGTGGGTTTTTACTAGAATGGGTTGCGGTTGTTATCGTTGTTTTTTTTGTCCCATTGCACGGTTGACATTGTAAATTGCCAACGTTTCCCGGTATGGGTTTCCTTCCTGGCGGGGGTGCTGTCTGTTCTCGGGACGATATGTGCCGTGCGTATGTCAACATCGTGGTTCCGACTTCTTGTCAATATCTTGGTTCCGACGAAATCTTTTTTCCTTGTTGCGTCGTACACCGTGTAACGACGATATTTTACGATGCCCGATGCGGAGTTCGTGGTGAAGTTGTCGAGCGTGGATTTTCTATGGTGCTGTGTTTGGCTTCATATATTTTTTCACAACATCGTTTTTTGTGGCGTCGTACGTATGTTAGTATTTCCTTCGTGGTTTTTCAGGACCGAGCCGAATAGTTCCGAAAATGGGGCATATACAGCAAGGGGTAAGGGATTCCAGTCGTGGCAGAAGCGACCCCGCCCCAAGAAGCGTAAGAGGGTTTCAACCACGTGGACACGAGATGGTCACGACATACCGGGTTTCAAATCGTCGCCGAAGCGAACCCGCAGGCCAAATGGCGTTCTGTTCCTTACTTTATCTCTCCCCGAGGTAGTATACACGCATTCGTGCGTGCCCGTTCAGGTGACAAAAGGGTTTCAAACCATACCCGAAGCTTTCCCGCCCCGCGGCCCTCTTCATTGCGTCATGGTTTTCCGTTTATTCCTTTGTCTCGGTGCAGATGTTTGATACTTCGCGCCATAACCAAGTGAAATTACCCCGTGGGTACCCATGGGCACCATGGGCAATGCCCATTGGTACCCATGGGTTCCCACGGGCATTGCCCATGGGTACCCATGAGTACCCATGGGTACCCATGGGTATTGCCCGTGGGTACTCATGGTGACCCATGGTCACACACATGGTGACCCATGGGCACCCAAACTGATGATGCCTAACGCTAGCCCATGGTCGTCACCGTGGGTAGCCACAGGCACCCGTGGTGTTAAACGTGGGTAGCGATCCATTGGTATCGGTGGTGTAGCACCCTACGGGTGCCGACGGGTAATCATGATGATCACCACGGGACCTATTCGTCCCGACTAATGAAAGACGAAACGTCTTGGAGCTTTGAAAACAACTAAACCCACCGTAGCTTTTAAATCTGCAACAAGTAAGTATGATGAAGAGACCTGCCCAAGGCCTCGGCGTGCGCGTGCACTGTACGAAACACGGGAGATGCGACAACGCCCTCAGCGTCGCGCCGTGGGTCTGGGTGAGCCTAGCGCCGTGGATCTGGGTGAGGGCACACTGACGCGCTTTCCTCCACGCCCACACCAAGCCAGTTCAGTTGTTTTTATTCGGCTTTAGATACCTTCCTCTCTTTCTTTACATTCGTGCGCCGAGTTGGAATAATGCTGGACTCACTAACTGCTGTGCTGTGAGCCTCCCACGGAACCTTGGGTGTACCAGCTCGCTGCGGCCGCGCCTTCGTCGACCCCGCCTAATCGATGCTATAGAGTACGCTTAATCTTGGTACCCGTTGTGATCCCCGTGGTGGTGAAAGCCATTATGGTCCCCCGTGGGCCGTGGGTGGCCGTGGGTACCCTGGACGAAACGACAGGAGGCGGATTGGGGATTGTGGAAGAGGACGAGACGCCGAGCGTCGTGGAAGCCCAGGGAGCGATGTTCCAGACGCCAGACGAAGGCGTATGGTCTGATGGCGGGAGACGCAGAACGTGACGACGGAAATCGACGATCGGCAGTAGAAGGGGGCAAGCCCACCCAAGACCGAACTAGGGGAAGTCGGGAAGGGCCCACCCAAGCCAACACCCGAGGCCCTATGGCCGGAAGGTGTAAGGCCACAAGGACGGATGAAAAACGACGCTCTCCTCATCCTCAGCCGGTGTGACCAGATCGGTCATTCGCAATCAGCGTTGCTGAACCCTTGCGATACTCCAGAGTGATAGTGTCGGAGGTGAGGAATTCTAGCCAACGTTGAACGCGGGCATTGTTCTCCCCCACCTTGGCAAAATGCTCAAGAGATTTGTGGTTGGAAAAAATACGAAATTATTACCAAAGTGACCGCGAAGTTTTGATATACACCACACGACGCTACCCGCCTTGAAATCGAGGGGAGTCCAATGACGTTCGGAGTCCAAGTAGCCCGGCTGATGAAGACGATGGGGCGGATGGAGCCATCCGGCTGTTCTTGTTCGAGGGTCCCACCGTACCCATCGCGACTCCGAAACGGTCGCGAGCGGTCCGAAACTGCACCCTAACCTGGATAAACCAAAACAGGAGGGATGACCAACTCAGACAACAGAACGCGAAAGGCTTGCTCCATAGAAGGGGTGAAGAGGAGCTTCACCTGCTTCTTGAGAAGAGTGGTCAGAGGTCGAATGAGTGCGTTTTGCCATGTTGGGGAGGAACTTGAGGCAGTAGCTGAGGCCACCGAGGAGAGAACGAAGTTGCTTGACACCCTTGGGCATAGGCATTTTGGTGAGGGCCGCAACCTTGGCACCGTTAGGCTTAACGCCGTCGGGGGCGATAGTGTGTCCGAAGAAGTCCGCTACCGTTACGCCAATAGTGGCTTTCGGAGGCGTGAATTTCAAGTTGTGTGTATGCAATCGTTCAAAGATCGCGCCGGGGTGTCATCAAAGACAATTAATTAAGTCATCCAAGTACCATGCAACACCGTGGAGCTAATTTTTTACTTCGTTGGTGACTTTGCGAAACCACAGGGGCAGCGGAGCTGCCCTGACGCATCTTCAACCACTCGAACAGCCCAGAAGACGTCACGAATGCCGGGAAATTCACGTATGCTTAGAAATCAGATCACGAAATCACATTCAGATTGTAAGACCCGAAGATCCAAAGAACTCTCTTCTGAGAAACATGTGAAAGTCCGATACATTCTCCATTCTCCATACATCAACATTGCATACATAAGGATACTTTTTGCTCACATGGATTGACATTTCTCAGCACACACAGACCCCACAGCAGTCACCACTTGCTTCAAAGACGACTGCAGGTGTGGCGCGTACAGCCTTCAAGTTCTGGTGACGATCCGATCATCATGGAGGGAGAACTCTGTGGTGATGTAGTGAGAGGTCTGTCTCTTGGTCGAATCTGTGGCAAATCAGGGGGGTGGGGGTATGCCAGCCCAAAAAAATCGGTCGGGCCAACTTTCGGTTGCTGTAGAGTCTCACAGGCTGTGACTCCCTGAATCTTCACGTTGTTGGTCTGCTGCGACGCTGCGACCCACATCCACGCCTCTTTCATCTCATGATCAGCAGCCTAACTGAAATTCCCGAAACTACCGGGCCTCTTTGAACAGATGCCACCACTGATAATAACACATAGAACAGCGTGCTAATTTCTGTCACAGTACACTCTGCCTGCTCACCTAACATCACGCTGTTGGCTGGTTGTTGGTGGCTTCTCTGCTGTCCGAACGTTCTCAGAAAACGCCTTGCGCCCACAATCGCTTACGTCCCCTTACCCCCTTCGACCAACACGGTGCCACATCGCCTGATCACCTGTTACATCATACGACTCCCCTAAAACCACCTTTTTCAAACCCGGACGGAGCTCTGGGAGCCTTCGACCATTCCCGTCCAGCGTCTCTTTGCACGTAGGTGGTGGGTGTGTGCATGGCAATATGCAAATGACGTCCGAGGAATACAAGCAGACCTGTAGGCTTCGTGTACGGCAATGCGCAGGTCCTTCCATCTTTTCATAGACTTACATTGTACATAGCATACACGGATCTATCTCCACTATCTCCACATTCCACAAACGCCCCGTTTCTTTTCCCGCCGCGTTTCTTCCCGCCGTGTCATCGCTGTGTGCGCAGTGCTTACCCATCGTCAGCAAAAACCGAGCGCCCCCACCCGTATTGGTCCTAAGCTCTCCCCGCGGCTGCAAACGATGTGGTGAGGCAATGAGGAGTGGGTCTGTGTAGTGTACAGGGCGCACACGCGTATTGCCGCTTTTGAGCGGATGGATTGTTGCGTGTGGCAAGCGCTGAAAAACTTCTTCTTGCACAGCAGAGGAGGGGCAGTGACACCATCAACAGCGGAAGGGGGAAAGGGAGAGAGCAAGAGAGAGGGACGAATGGAGGAAGGAATGCCGGGAGAGATAGATATTTGGGCTCCAACGCCCATCGACGAAGGCACCCAGATTGTGCATCGTATTAGGTAAAATTAGACCATCTGACCAGTCAACGTTGACTGGTCACAGATGGTCTAATTTTTTCTAAAAACACATGGTTGGTTGTGGTTTTGGGGCTGACGGGCTGACACACACCGGAAGGAAGCTGCTGTTTGGAAGTGTTACCTCCGCGTACACAGCTTCGGCCAGCAGCAAGAGGTGGTACATTTCAACAACGAGAACCATATGCGATAGTGATGAATGCATACGGGGTTCGGAAAGGGGACGGGGGACGTGCTTGGGAGGGACATGCTTGAACCGAGCTGCTTGAACCCTTGGAACCTTGCACAAACACAAAACACACACACAGCGGCCTTTTTGCAAGCTCCTATTCTGATTCATCAACTTCGTCGGCTGTAGCTAGTTGATGAAGTTACACCATTGGTGCAGTCAGCGCTGACTGGTCTTCTAATGGTGTAACTTTATCGAGTAAAAGATATACGCTTAGCTCATTAGCTGGTCTACTGGTGTAACTTCCATCAAACAAAGGATAGCCGTACGAATTCAAATACCGGCTGGATCACTTTTCTTTGCAAAAAGTGCACCTAGAACCATCAGCGTCTGGCGAGGGGTCCGTCCCCGCAGATCCCTTCTCTCAATCCCAGAGGCAAAAAGCCTTAAATCCATGTGATCCAGCCGGGTGCTAATGAGCTGAGCGTGCATCTTTTATTTGATAAAGTTACACCATTATACCAGTCAGCGCTGACTGGTCTATTGTTGTATAACTTTATCAATTAGTCGCGACGTGTGCCGTCTCCTCTTCTGGATGTTGTGTTGGATGTATGCGAAGTATATGTACCGCACAGCAGCACAGCAGGATGCAAACCTATAGGCGGGCTGCTTCAGACGTACTTGGTGAAACAACATATGGAAAACAACCTTCCGATCTTCTGGCTCAAAAAATGTGTTGGATGCCGCATCAAATGTGTCATACTGTTGGAGTAATTGCGGTACAAGAACGACTCTATTCTACTGCATGGGTTTATGCGGTATTGTGAAGGCGTTGCCAAGTCTGTAACCGTCAGGTGAAGACAGCTTGGGCGTCTGTGTGGATAATAATATCACTCTGTGTGTTTGCCTACCTAACCTCGCATCACATGCCAGCTACTTTGTAGCCACAGCTGAAGGAATAGCTGTACAGCAACTGCAGTGACAGTGCTGTTGCCTCAAAAGGTTTTGAGCCTCGAGTTGCTCGAGCTAGTACACCAGAGTCACAAGCGTCGGTAAGCATGGCTACCGGCTCGTCAGGCGAGATCCGAAGAGGATTCGCCAAGTTCAGTGGTGACCCAGGCGACTACGTCGGCTGGCGAACTCTGCAGACCTCCTTATTTATGGAGGACAAGCTGCACAAGGTTCTGTTGGGAGTGGAGAAAGCCCCTACGGATCCTGGACCAAGCGCTACGCCAAACCAGACTTTGGCATACCAAACTGCCCTGGAAGGATACCAGGACAAGAACGGACAGATCTTTACCCGGCTGATGCTCGCTACATCTGAAACCGGGGGCTACCAGAGCGCGGCCTCACAGACTGTGCAGGCATACGCGCCTATCGGGTCTTCCTACAACGGAGACGGTCGTGGAGCATTCCTCGCCCTGGAACGAAAGTACCAGGCCGCTGGGGTATACCGTACGCAGGAGCTGCACGAGAAGTTCATATCTTTGGCAGTTACTGCGGACCACGACTTTGATCCGGCCAATGTTATTCAAGACATGCGCCGGATCTGCACGGAGCTAGCCGTGTATAACGACACGGTGGCTGACCACCGAAAGACGTTCGCTTTCCTGAAAGCACTGCCGGACGACCACTACAAAGAGTTCAAGACAGGGCTGCTGTGCGGCCAGGCTGCTGGGAGCGTCTTGTCCTTCGAGGAGGTCGCCGACCGAGCCACTTCGTTCCACGCGATGCACATTCGTGGTAAAGTTGCCTCGAAGAACGCGTCCGGAAGCAGCAGCCGTGCGCTGAATACCGTCACACACGGTGGAGCGCGTTCTTTCCGTAAGGGCGGCGGTCATCATGGTCGTGGACGCGCGCAGCGCGGTGGACGCGGACGTGGCAGCTGGAACAACTCGTCGAACCGTAACAACGGGTCGTCGAGGGGGAACAACAGCAACGACCAGAACCATGGCGGCGCAACTTCTGGCAACGGAGCTGGTGGTGCGTCTTCCGACAACCGGCCCTCTGGACGGCCAAACCACTCACAGCAAAGACGCGGGTACGACAGGGACGGCTTATGCAGTTACTGTCACAATTCTACGGAACACACCTGGACGAACTGCCCGCTTCGCGCCTCCAATGCCAAGCGGTTTTCGAACCGTGAACAACAGCAACCGCAGCAGCAGCAGCAGGTCAACACGATCGCGGAAGCCACGACACAGGCGTGGCTCACGCACGCGCGCGAGGTCGACCTCACGCTGGAATCGTTCGACATCGCCATAGGCGATCCCGAGCAGGTGCCGTTTGCGCCTGCTGCATCGACCCCTGAGGAGGCGTCCGATGTCAATGTAGGGCAGGTGTTGGCTGCGCCTGCCACAGCTTCGCTACCATTGTTGGAACGTGCTGTCCCATTGCAGGTGCCGATTGCGCCTGCCACAGCAGAGGAAACCGAGGAGCCTGCTGCCTCCTACGAGCAGGAAATGGACCCGCCTGCCGCGATACAGCATGAGGAGCTGGTCGCGTACACCAACGTTTTTCGTGCAGTGGACAAGACAGCGCCCGCCGAGCATACGAGGGTGTTCATCGACACCGCCGCTTCGGGACACATGGTAAGCGGCGAGAGCCCAGTCTCACAACATGTAGTCGACTTGGTTGACTGCGACGTCCGCATCAAGGGTTCGTGCGGCACATCCAGCGCCACCAAGAAAGGTACGCTGAAGTTCAAACTCAAGAATGACAAAGGTCAACCCGTCCCGATAGAATTGGAGGTTCTGCTTGTGCGGGATCTTGGAGCAAACATATTTTCTGTCGGAGCGTTGGATGAGAAGGGGGTGAAGACGGATCTACTTTCGGCACCTCCGGCCCTGCGAAGCCGGAACCTGTCTTTCCCCATATCAACAGCAGAGGTGCCTCGAATGTACGTCGTGAATCTCATCCTGGACGACCTGAATCTCGACCTGCCTAGTTCTCCGCTGGTTTTCCGTGCCGATACCGATGCCGGTGTCTGGCACCGGAGGATGGGACATTGCAATGCGCGCGCCCTGAAGCAGCTCTCGGATAAGGAAGGCACCGGCATCAAGTTCATCACCAACATTCAACCAGGTGACTGCGAAGTGTGCGATGTATCCAAAAGCAAGAAGGCGAGTCACCCCCCGGTTGGCCGCGCCCGTTCACTGACGCGAATGATGCTTATGCATCTCGACCTGTGGGGAAAACATGGTGTGCCATCGTATAGCGGATGTCAGCATATCGTAATGTTCACCGACGATAAATCTCGCATGCGGTGGGGCATTCCCCTGAAGACAAAGGATGGAGTGACTGACGCGCTCGAAACACTGATTAAAGAAGTCGCCGATCCCGAGGGCATCTGCATCGGGAAAATCCATTGCGATGGCGCAGCCGACTTCAAGGGTAGGTTCTTAGCAATGTGTCGGTCCTTCGGGATCGCTGTGGAGACAAGCCCCCCGTACGTCCCTCAAGGGAATGCTGTCGCCGAACGCGGTTTCGGGACCGTCATCGGTGCAGCACGTAGTCTCATGCTTGGAGCTCCGCACCTACCGCGTCAACTGTGGGCGGAAGCCGTGAAGGCCGCCATTTACATCAAGAACCGCACACCTACTGACGTCCTGGACGGCAAAGCACCACTTGAGGTTTGGGAGGACAAACCACTCGGCAGCTTGAAGCACATGCATGAGTGGGGGTCTGTAGCGTTTAAACACGTAGAAGCTCGCTCGCGAAACGATAAGTTTTCTGCCAGGGCCAAGAAGTATTACATGGTGGGATACAATACAACCAGCAAGACGTGGCGGCTATGGGACCCGGCGGAACCACTCAAAATTACAAACTCTGCTGAAGTGTCATTCCGCGAGGTAGATGCCCGCGACGTCGCCCGCCCCATGCACGGGTCTGACCCATTTCCCGAACAAGGCCAGATTTTCCAGCCCGGCATCATCACTACTGGGGCCGAGACAAAAGACGAGGAACCAGAACTAGCAGAAACGAACGACGGACCGGACGAAGAACCACCCGCGGTGCGCAAAAGCGGTCGTACGACAAGGCCGCGGGACCGTCTGAACCTGTTTACGACGGAGCAGGTGTTCGAAACGGAATACGCGCTGGTGATCGGAGGTGAGATCGGGAACCTTGGTCAAGGGATACCTGGCCAACTAGGATACATGCCCGCCGATCCACCGAACTACCGCGCAGCGGTCAACGGACCAGATGCTGTTGGATGGATGAAAAGCATGGAGGAGGAGAATCGCTCCTTGCTAGACCACGACGTTTATGAGTGGGTCGATCCCCCGTGCGATGCTCAAATCATCCCGTCAAAATACATCTACAAATGGAAGTACAACGAGGCCGGCATCGCTGTGCGACAGAAATCGAGAATCGTAGTGCAAGGATTTTACGAAGCTGAGACCGGAACCGACAATGCTGCACCGGTAGCGTCTCTCCAAGCCGTCCATCTGATAGTTGCGCATGCAGCCAAGAATGGACTTGTTCTTCGCCAAGCCGACATCAGGACGGCGTTCCTCCACGCGAGGATGGAACCGAGATCGAAACCAGTGTACGTCATTCCCCCGGAAGGATTCTCGTGCGACAGCGGGAGAGCCAGGCAAGTCTGGAAGCTCAGAGCATGGCTTTACGGGTTGCGTTTTTCCCCAAAAGGCTGGTGGGGCACTCTGCACGACTTTCTCCTGAAGATCGGATTTGTTGAGAGCACCGCTGAACCGTGCTTGTACATCCTGGACGACGGAGATGTGCTCCTTCTCGTTTATGTGGATGACATTCTGCTGACCGGGGAGGGCGAGAACAAAGTGCTGAGCATAGTCGATCAGCTGAATGAGCGTTTCGAAACGGTGGACCTGGGAGGAGCCAGATTCCTACTCGGTATGGGAATCAACCGAGACAGAGCCATTACGGAGTGAGTAATGTCGGGCCTTGTGCACCTGCTGAGATATAGAAGCGAGCCTGTGGCGGAGCGGAAATATGTGGTATCCTCCGCTGACAGCACCTCGTCCTCCAAGACGGACACCGGTCCAGCCTCAGACGGAGATGTCGTCGGACGCGCGTCGGCCATGACTACTCGGTATGGGAATCAACCGAGACAGAGCCGCAGGGACGATTCTTTTGGAACAGGAAGCGTATACCAACGCAGTGTTGGACAAGTTCGGCATGGCCGACGCGCGTCCGACGACATCTCCGTCTGAGGCTGGACCGGTGTCCGTCTTGGAGGACGAGGTGCTGTCAGCGGAGGATACCACATATTTCCGCTCCGCCACAGGCTCGCTTCTATATCTCAGCAGGTGCACAAGGCCCGACATTACTCACTCCGTAATGGTTCTGACGCGGAGTATGGCGAAACCAGGTCCGAGGGCGATGCAGAAACTCAAACGCGTACTCAGGTACCTGAAAGGTACGATATCAATCGGTGTACGCTACGGCGAGGACGCCGGAGATGGAAACGTCATTACGGCGTTTGTCGACTCAGATTTTGCAGGCGACCTAGACAAGGGCTACTCCACCACGGGAGTCGTGTTGTACTTCGCTGGTGGACCGGTGGAATGGACATCATCCAAGCAGACGGTGGTGGCGACCTCTTCCGTTGAAGCAGAGTTCGTGGCTTTGTCGAAGGGGTGCAACATCATCAAGTACTTCCGCCACCTGCTGGACACCATAAATCAGACTCAGGAAGAAGCAACCGTGGTGTGGGAGGACAACTCGGGAGCTCTAAAATTAACTCGTAGCTTCCGTATCACCCCAAGGACGAAGCACATTGACGTAAAGTTTCACCACGTAAGGTCGCTGGTAGCTGATGGAGTCGTAGACGTGAAGCAAATATCGACGTCGCTTCAGAAAGCGGACATTTTTACGAAAGGGCTAAACCCGTCGGAGTTTCTCCGCGCCCGTGGCATGCTGTTAGGAGTTTGATCACCTCCCCTCTTCTTCGTAATCAGACTTTATGTCTTGAGGGTTGGATGGTGTATGTGTGTGTATATGTTAGAAGAAAATTCGGGAGATTTGTGTCGAAGGAAAATAAATCGCTGCTGATGCAACGCAGCTGAGAAAGGCAAAACAATTGATATTGAGACAGAAGTTCTTAAGATAGCATTGTTTCGAGAGGACATGGATATTGTTTTCGAGAGGACATTGAGAGAGAATTGGATCTGATGCATAGGTACTAGAATGACGTAGTTCTTGAGAGGACATGTTGGAGTAATTGCGGTACAAGAACGACTCTATTCTACTGCATGGGTTTATGCGGTATTGTGAAGGCGTTGCCAAGTCTGTAACCGTCAGGTGAAGACAGCTTGGGCGTCTGTGTGGATAATAATATCACTCTGTGTGTTTGCCTACCTAACCTCGCATCACATGCCAGCTACTTTGTAGCCACAGCTGAAGGAATAGCTGTACAGCAACTGCAGTGACAGTGCTGTTGCCTCAACACATACCAAGACAGAGAGGGACTTCACGGAGCAGGGACATGCCCATCGGCGCGCCCGCCGTGTGTGTCGCTGCGTCGAGAATGTGGCAAAACCTGGATTCATACCACATCTACATCAAATGCTGCCGCGCATTTTCCGCACAATCTCCGAATTCGGGGGAAACTTCGGAGAGCAAAAAGCGGATGCGATGCTGCTCCCATTCTCGATAAGGCCGAAAATCGAGCGGGGGTGTACAGCAGTAGACTGTTGCACAGGAGATACGAAGTGTACTCGAACGACACTTGTGTGCCTAATCTACACTATAGCAGACTTGTAGTTTTTTTCCATGGAGTGTTTCGTTATTGTTGTTGTTATTGTTGTTGTTCCGATCCCCCTGCCCAGCGTCTTGTGTCTGCACTGATCTACCACTTCACGCGGTCGATTCCCGTTGTCACAGTCTAACTTACCCTACAAAAGGGGAATACGCTCAAATACACCGGACCTCGCAAAACAAAAAAAAATCAGAGACATAGTCTGGGGCCCTGCCCCCCTCTGCACGACATATGCAAGGTACAAGATTTACGACTGGGATTTATTGTTACAGGCAACTCTTGAGGCTCCGGCAGTTGTCTTAGAGTCCCCTGTACTGCCGGCGGGGTGTTCCGTGCCAGGTTCTCGCCGGTCAGGCCAAGTCGGCAAAAAAATATCCTCCCCACCAACGAAAAAAAAAAGACATGTGCATGTTACTCGAGGCGCGGAAATCATGGCCCCGTGCTACCGACGTACTCCCGGTCTTCCAAGTAGGATAGCTGCATGGAGAAAAGAGAGGAACACCTGGGAAAGAAAAAAAAGAGAGGAAAGAAAAAGACACACCCCATGACCAACGAACAAACAAACAGGGCCACCCGCATGGTAAAAGGTCGCGCTTCGCGCTCCGCGACTATTTACAAGTATGGCATCCCTCGTTGGGTTTTCGTGCACATGGTGCAGTGATCGGAGGAAATTAGCCATGGAATTTAATCCGGCACATATCATGTCACTCGGCCCGCCTCTTCTCGTTTGCTTTCTTCCCTCGCCGTCTCGTCCATCTGCTGCCCCCTTCCCGCCCCATTGGTTGTTTTCCATGTATCTATACTATTGTTTGGCTCGTTGTCACGTTTGAGCGCTCGTTGTTGGCTAGCCTCCTCTTCATCCTTGTGCCAGGAGTTGATGAACGTCTCAGCTCCATGCAGCACCCCCTTATTCGACGGTACTCCCCGCTCCACCTTCACTGCTTCCGTCCAAGTTGGTGTCGGGACTCCGAAAACACATGGCTCATCGTACGTAGATCCGTGCGTAGCCCCGACCGCCTTGACGTCGCCCCGCAGGCACGCCTGCCAGTGTTGCTCCGGTTTTCCCCTGCCTGGGCCCGCCCTTTCCACCAGCCCGCCCGGACATTTGTCGCAACGGACGGTAGGCGTCGTTGCCGAACAGCGACTTCCACGCTCTGGCACCCGACCCTCCACAGAGCCTGGGCGTCGGAAAGCTGCCGGTAGTAGTTGCCCTTCTTGTTCGCGATAACTCGCAGGAGCAGTCAGTGATATATCGACGGTAACCTCTTGTGGTGCTCGCAACATGGAGCCCATGTCATGCAACCGTGCAGTAGTGCCTCCATCGCCTCCGCCTGGAGCCGGCGGACCTTAAGTCGGAATGATGCTCTCGGTCTGTCGAAGGGCTCCCGGTCATATCTCCTGATGCACGCCCACGCTGCTCTGCTGCTGTAGTTGATCTCCCCGGGCGAGGTCGCCATGTTCATTGACGATGCCACCTAATAGGCACCGGGTCTCAGTCGTCTCAACGTAATTCTGCCCCGCTGTTCCGATGATGAGCGGTGACGGCGGTGGAGGCGGGGGGAACGGTGGTGCTGTCTGCTTGTCCTTTACGTGGATCAGGAGCGTCTCCATCTTCTTCTCCGATACCGCCAGCTCGAACTCCCGGAAAACCTTCACGATGACGGCTATCGCTCTCGCCAGTCCGTCGGCAGGCCTCTATACAACGTCGCCGTCATCGACAAACAACATCCGGACGTATGGTACACGCTCTTTGGAGGGAATCCTCGGTGCTAGATTGTCCAGTTTTCCCCGGAACGTACGCTTGCTGTCGGCGGTGACCACCTCGGTTGGGGCGTACGCAGCAACGAAGTTGACCGGTCCGCGGTGGCCTGTCGTCTCAAACCTCGTGGCCTTATGCGGCGTGCATCGATAAACTCCGCGGTGAACGTGGAGGCCCTGTTCACCGACTCTGTATCAGCTATCCCCACACCATGGGCTCCACCTGCTCTTTTTGGGGTTAATTTGCAACAAGTCATATTGAATAGCTTCACGCACGTGGCCGTTCGCCAAATTTGTTGCTGCTTACATTCCGACCGTGACACCTTGCGCCCCGAGGAACTCCTCTGTCGCTTGGGTGGCATTTTTTCCCGTGAATTTCCCCAAGGTTGATTGATCGAATTGTTTGTACACGATCCTCGAATATGGTCGCGCGTAAATGTGTGCAGGAAGCCCGACGCCGTTGTTCCAGAGCATCGCTGGCGCGCACGCATGGTCTGGGTGTCCCTCTTGGTGTGCATCACCGCATGTGAGTAAGCACCCTTCTGAATAGTCTTGCTACCCCATTGGGGAAAAATTCTCAACACTCGAATACCATATCTATCTTTGAAAAGTCCTTTTTGCGCATGCCTAAAACGACATGTGCGTCGCAATTTTGCATGTACCTTGGAATCGCTGGGTAGATCGCGACACGATTGTCGCGCAACCTCCTTCTATGCGCAGCATACCATTCTCTCTACACTTTTCTGAAGCGGGAAACTCCAAAGCGGCCCTAGAAGCTATCTTCTTCTCGCCACACGTGACGAAGCCGTCCAGCCTGCCATCTGTCGTGTGTCATGTGCAAGGTCAGCTGGGTCGAAACGATTGCTCTCTTCCATGCCAACTCTTCTTCTTCGTCGTCGTCTTAGGTTCCATTCCTCTCCTCTCTCCCTCTCCTCCTCTTTTGATACTAAAAAGCATCTTCCTTTTCGCCAGCACTATGTCCCCGTGTGTGCATGAACGGTTGAGTTGGCCTTGTCCAGTGCTTTCGGATGTTCTGATTCTCCAAGGTCAGCCTGCATCATTCCACATGTGTTTATTTTAAATTATGTTCGGGTGATTATTGTGCACCCTTGGACCTCTCTCCACCTCTTAGTTCAGGGTCTCTCCCTCTCTCGCTCCCTCCGTCTCTTCGGCTATCCCTCTTCTTCTCCCTTTTTCGAACGCGAACAATCCAACGCAGATACGATATGGCAGATCTGGAAAATATTCGACGATCTTGCCAATCCGAGCTCCAGTCTCAAGATCACGGTGAGAACAAGCGTTCTACCCAACCTTGTTTTGCCCTGAGACTATACTGGTTTTAGATCAAACTTGTTCATCTCTAACCCTTATTCTGGTCTGGGATAAAACCAACCCGTCGGTTTCAAATGGCACAGATCTACCTTGCGTAGTAAGACCTGAGCAGTGGCTTGTGAGAGTGAGGCGTGTTGCTTTTCTCTCCATCCTGCTCCATCATCCGATGATTGTGCTTGGTAGTAGTCGCTATGTGTCCTTTGGTAGATTCCATCAAAATAGTATGTCCGGGATGTCCGGGTTGCTGTTGTTTCCGATAAACTAGTCGGGACATCCTGCTTCCGCTCCCGCCCCACCAGTGCCTCCGCCTTTGCACCCGTCGTCGTACCGCTGTGAACCAGAATGACCTCTACGCGTATCCACACGTGCTGGTGTGCTTCTTCCATGGGGAAGGTTGCGGTTTCGAGGACGAGAGCGTGGACGTGTGCGTGACAACCGCCTTGTCGGAGAGTACGACAGTATCCTTTAACGGCGAGTACTATGACGACCTCGGCGCGGTTACCGAGGTGAGGCTGTCAAAAAAGGCCGCTTGGATGTTCCCCTGGTCTTGAAAGGTGTGAGCAAGGTGCCCACGTAGACGACCTGGGCGACGCAAGGCCGGATGGATCTAGATGTGGATTGGCCGTGCCCCCAACGTGCGTGCTGAAGCTTGTTCCTACTCGGGGGTATTCCATCGCAGGAACGCATCGCATTGAGATGCTGCCGTCGTCGCTTGCTTGCTCACCAGGCACAATATCTCGTATAGGCGATTCAAATCGGGTGATGTCCGCTTGATGCCTCCCTTTTGCCCGCGACACGCCGTGCCATCTCAGTCCAACTGTGTCGGCTTCGATCTGGGCAGCCTCGAGTTTGGAGATGACATCACCGCAGAGAATGACCAAGCAATAATCGATGTAAGTGTGATGGCAGAGAACGATGTGCCTCGTACCTACACTTCAGAGCGCAATCTCTTCGGCGACATGCCACAAGGTGTAGAAAATAGATCAAAGGGCGCGATCACCTGTATTTGAAGAGTGCCGTGAGCCGGAACCACCAGAACCCAAAACTCTTGGCATTTCGCCTCCACCTACATAGAAGGACGTGGTTTTCGTGACGGAAACGACAACGATATCCATGGCTTGACCCGGTACGCGGTAGGTGCACCACGCCGTTTGGTAGTCTTGGGTCATCCCATATATGAATCGGTACCCGTGGTGTCTAGCAATCTTAGAAAACGTGCCCTCTCTGTCTGTCACCCGTCTCGCCCCCCGCGTCTTTCGCATGCAGATGTGGTGGTACCAAAGTGACATGGCATCTATTGAGACCGACTACTAGTGAGTGGCGGCGTCAATCGTTGTGAAATCATGAAGCGTGCGTAGGAATGTAGTCATTTTCGCCAGGGAAGATTGTTTTCATCGACAGAGAAATGACTACGTTTATTTATGCGGTATCTGAGGTTGTTCTGTGACGTCTCCGGCCGGAACAGGAGCACCGGTCTTCGTTGACCGAACGCGAGGTGTGACCACGCTATTTTGGATTGTGCGATCTGCTTAGCCGCAAGTTTTTTTTCTCCGTCTCCTCGATGTTGCTCAGCTCCCAATTATTTGGACGACGGGGAGCGTTCGCCGACAAATCGTGGGAGTTCGCTTTCGTGTCGTTTTGATCGCCATGGTTTGATTCGTCCACCGTGCATGTGCATCTCCTGATCCCATTGGCCTGGCATCGTTTGTCTCATGTCTTCTTCCTGTCGACCGCGGGTTTGGCGTCGCCGTTGCTGTTGCTGCTGCTGCTCTGCTGCTACTCTTGGTGTTGTGGTCGGTGCTTTCACTCAGCGACCACATCGGGATCTACATGTCGGAAGAGTATCCCACGGAGAGCACGTTACCCTTCCTGTACGTGCCGTACAGCCGAATCGAGCCTGATACCGGCGATGTCATTTACAAGCATACACAACTGGTACGGTACTGCTGCTACTGCTGTAAAGTAATTCCCTTCTGTTGGGAACTATGACGTACCGTCTGGCATCTATACATGTAGGATACGTAATATACCGATACATTGTATCATCTGCTGTATTTTCCGGAACATACGGAACCTTCCCATTTTTCCGTCCATCCTGCGGATTATCCTTGCTGCGACAACTGGTTTGAGCCGCGGATGTCCGTGTGGACTTTAGAAGATGTTTATTCAGGTCCGCAGTGGTTGTTTTGCTACATGACGTGCTTTGCAGCACGCTGACCGTGTCCTTAGATTGTCGCTGGGTTATTGCTGGGAGTTGCAAATAATCTTCGGACGGACGGTGCGCCTTGGTGGAAGCTAGGCCCTGCCCATGGCTGACACCATCGCCGGCGGCCGCGCACGCGGGGCAGGAGAGCTCGTGTGCGTTTTCGACGCGTTCAACGTCAAATGAACAAACGCTCGTTTGCATCTTGCCTTCGCCTTCGCCCCCTTGCCCCCCCGAACGCTTCTTCGCTTAGCTTCGCATGGAATGAATGTGTCGCACGTAACCATCTCCTTCGAAACGTGTTTGCTTCGTGGACAGAACAGTGGCATGTCATGAACGGTCCTTTTTGGGCCATTGCTGGCAGTCGGAAGAGCTGTGTCCCCACCGTTCCTGGACGCAATATCTGCATGTACATGTACGCGTTGTTGCTTGTGTTCGGTGCAGATTTCCAAGGGGTCTGTCTCTGTTGTATTGCTCTCTGGCTCGCGTGTCTGCCCGCAGACCATCGGCAAGACCACGAAGAAGAAGCTCAATGGAGACGTGACGACCACCTTCCCCCCCCTCGTCCTTTCGTCGTCTGACTTCACCGCGGAGAATGTGAGAAGGCAACGAGCGACCCCTGACTGGGTGCGCCCGTTCACGCTCGAAAACCTAGGCCTTGGTCTGACGTTTTTCATGCGTTCGTTACCACCATGCTTTCGCACCAACCCCGAAAACCAAATGTAGATGGTGACCGTGTATTGCCTTCATATGTTCACTCGTGGGTCGTCCAGCTGTACTTCTTACCGTCGACCGCATCGAATGCGAGGAAGGTGGTCTCCCCTATAGACTGGGATCAATCACGTATCTTTTTATCACCAACTTGTACGTGCCATCGACGAAATCTCCGTATCCACCTTTGAGGACGAGGGTTGTGGGCGGCGTATTGTTGGATGCGTTGATTTTTCTGCCCATAAAACCTTGGCCGAGATCCTCATGACCCCCACCCCTCGTCAATTTTTCCTCTTGATTTTCCTGCCTCTCTCTCCTCGCCCCCAATGCGCGGATTTGCAATGTCCCTCTTTTCGTTTGTTTCGTTTGTTTCAAAACTCTGCGCGCAGACTTGGGCAACGTCGGAGGATGATAGCTTCCAAGACGCGTCGTTCGGCAGGCTTTATCTCGATATTAAGCAAGGGGATTACTCACGTACCGCCATCGCCGAGGTCGACCCGTTGGATATTGGCACCTTTCTCGGCAACATTGGTGGATTCTGGGGTAGGTAGCGGCGAATAATGTTACCGACTACTACGTGGTTGTGGTGGTGTTGACTCCACGATGCCCCCAAACACCTGAAGGAACGCGTTTTTTCCGACTTGAAGTCTAGCAAGTCGTAAGATGCAGAATATACAAGTGAACGTCCGCGAAACCACACCATCGATGATTTTGCACTGAATACGGAGTCACAGGTATGGAGGTGGGGCAAAGCTGGGAGAGATTTCGCTTTTCTCCAGAACTCTCTCCATGCCCTGGTTTCGTTTGGAAAATTCACCCTCACACACGTTTCGGCTACGACGTTTGGGTGTAACCAACAAGGGCATCGGAACCCCTCCTCCCTGAGCTGCATCTTATGATGCATCTCTTGGTGCTGTATCTTTGATTGATCGTGTCTCCGTCGTGAACAGTGATTGTAGCCTGGCAGAAGAAGTAGACGGGGGCACCTGCATGGTGTGCACACCCATCGTTGTGCATCGGAGGTGTCACATGCATAGTCCCCACAAAGCGTGGTTCCCTCCGTGATGAAGACATGTGGTTTTGTCCTAATGAACCCCGCACTGTATATTGTCACAACTCTTTTTTTTTTTAAGTGATTTGTGGCCGTCGGAACCAAAATCAGACGCCCAATCAGCTCTGCAAAAGTGATTGTGAACGGCTTGACTTTTTGCGCAATAAAGATTTCGTGCCCGTCCAGCTCACCCATCCTTGGCATCAACCTCACTTGAGTTATGCTTCGTTTCTCAGCCAATTGGTTCTCGATGAAATTCATCCTCGCCACCACGCCCAGATTCATGCCCACCCCCCGTCCACGTCCTTGTCCCGTGCGTCGATGGCTTCTCTCTGTCTTCCTGCACCCTTCAGAACTGCTGCTCATTTTGTGGGGGCTGTTCTTCATCGCCACACGGGAGGAACGTGAACCAAAGATGAAGGCTCGCGACTTCGCCAAGACAGCCCGGACCACGAAGGAACTTGTCACCAGGCGCAGGAGCCTCTCTGTAGACTCTGCTGCTGCTTCTACGACCTCGGCCGTAGAACAGAGGCCTCAATGGGAAGCCGCATTCCGAGGTGACACTGCCGCCGTCCCCCAGTTCGGCGGAGGCAACGCGGCCGTTCCCACCGTTCCTCCTGCGAACGACGGTGGCGCAAGCACCGCCACCCGCCGAGCTTCCAACGACAGCAGCGGCATCGGCAGCACGAGCAGTGCTCTTTTTCGCCGCGCTACGGTGAGTTCGGAGGACATGGTGACGTTAGTTTCGTGAACCGACGATGCTGTCGTTGTTGGTGCTGGCGGTTTGACTGGATCCAAAGGAACCTAGACTGGTGTTCCAGGTGCTCGGGCGAGTTCCCAGGTCGCTTTCGATTTCGTTTTCCTGCTATTGTTGGTGAACACAATGAGCACGGCACGTTCTTCACACGTCAACATTTTCGTGTCCCCTCTCTGATGACCATGGCGTCCCACATCCGTACCCAATCGTAATGCCAGAGTGGGATGCCTGACCCCCACGGTAGTTCCTCGGGCTTCAACTTCAGGCGTCCGGTGGTGCGAGACATGCCCAGACGCGGCTCGAGAACTGGCGGCAGCCTTCCGGAAGAACAACCACGCGCCCCGCCAAGCTACGATGAGATGTCCGCCAAATAGAACAAGGCCCTCCGGTCCAAGGTTGCAGACGAATTGCAAACCCAACCTGTCACGATCTCCATCTCAATTCCGTACCGGTGACGGCCTATATATTGGTGGATGACCCCGTAGACTGACCCGTAACGCCTTCTTTGTGTATGAACGCCAGAGCAATCTCAGCGGCAATATTTCCCCTTCTCGATGGCCGCCTTGGAGCGGTATTGGACTGATTTGTGAATATTGCGAGACGTGTTCATCTATCTGGTGTCAAATTTGTTCAGAGTAGCACAGGATGCTACGTCACACCGTAATGCGTCGCCCCGGTCAGGCTCATCTGCTTGTGGAACATGCACCAAAGCGGCTGAAGGCATGCGAAAGCTGCCGCGGGCAGTATCTCAAGACGGCAACAAAGAACCGTCTGTACTGTAACTTCTCTTGTACTTCTACTTCTTAGAAAGAAATTTCGAAGTTTTAGTTGATCACCCGCTGATGTATGTTGTAGAAATCACCTGTTTAACGTCTGCCGTTGTAATACCACTACCTGCGGTGTCGCGGACAGTTAGAATTCGGCACTTACCCTTCTTTACGTGGGTGCATTGTGCTTTTTCATTTTGCTTGGGTACGCTATTCTTTCTTTTTTTTTTTGCAGGGGTATATTCAGAGTAAGAATTTTCGAAGTTTTAGTTAATCCCCCGCTGATGTATGTTGTAGAAATCACCTGTGGGACCTCTGTCGTTGTATTTTTTTATTTTGCTCGGGTACGCTATTCTTTCTTTTTTTTGTACTATTGCAGGGGTACATTCAGAGTAAGAAATTTCGAAGGTTTAGTTTATCCCCCGCTGATGTATGTGGTAGAAATCACCTGTGGGACGTCTGTCGTTGTAATACCGCGAGCTGCGGTGTCACGGCCAGTTAGAATCCGGCACTCACTTCTTGACGTTCGTGGGCTACAGGGTTAGGGTTAGGGTTACCATTGTTTTTTTTCATTTTGCTTGGGTACGCTTTTCTTTCTGTTACTATTGCAAGGTTAAGAAATTTCGAAGTTTTAGTTAATCCCCCGCTGATGTATGTGGTAGAAATTACCGGTGGAACGTTTGTCGTTGTAATACCGCGAGCTGCGGTGTCGCGGCCAGTTATAATCCGGCACTTTTTTTCTTTACGTTCGTGGGTTAGGGTTAGGGTTGGGTTAGGGTTGCCATTGTTTTTTTCATTTTGCTTTTGGGTACGCTATTCTTTCTTTTGTTACTATTGCAAGGTTAAGAAATTTCGAAGTTTTAGTTCATCCCCCGCTGATGTATGTTGTAGAAATCACCTGTGGAACCTCTGTCGTTGTATTTTTTCATTTTGCTCGGGTACGCTATTCTTTCTTTTTTTTGTACTATTGCAGGGGGTATATTCAGAGTAAGAAATTTCGAAGTTTTAGTCAATCCCCCGCTGATGTATGTTGTAGAAATCACCTGTGGGACCTCTGTCGTTGTATTTTTTCATTTTGCTTGGGTACGCTATTCTTTCTTTTTTTTGTACTATTGCAGGGGTATATTCAGAGTAAGAAATTTCGAAGTTTTAGTCAATCCCCCGCTGATGTATGTTGTAGAAATCACCTGTGGAACCTCTGTCGTTGTATTTTTTCATTTTGCTCGGGTACGCTATTCTTTCTTTTTTTTGTACTATTGCAGGGATATATTCAGAGTAAGAAATTTCGAAGTTTTAGTCAATCCCCCGCTGATGTATGTTGTAGAAATCACCTGTGGGACCTCTGTCGTTGTATTTTTTCATTTTGCTCGGGTACGCTATTCTTTCTTTTTTTTGTACTATTGCAGGGGTACATTCAGAGTAAGAAATTTCGAAGTTTTAGTTTATCCCCCGCTGATGTATGTTGTAGAAATCACCTGTGGGACGTCTGTCGTTGTAATACCGCGAGCTGCGGTGTCACGGCCAGTTAGAATCCGGCACTCACTTCTTGACGTTCGTGGGCTACAGGGTTAGGGTTAGGGTTACCATTGTTTTTTTTCATTTTGCTTGGGTACGCTTTTCTTTCTGTTACTATTGCAAGGTTAAGAAATTTCGAAGTTTTAGTTAATCCCCCGCTGATGTATGTGGTAGAAATTACCGGTGGAACGTTTGTCGTTGTAATACCGCGAGCTGCGGTGTCGCGGCCAGTTATAATCCGGCACTTTTTTTCTTTACGTTCGTGGGTTAGGGTTAGGGTTGGGTTAGGGTTGCCATTGTTTTTTTCATTTTGCTTTTGGGTACGCTTTTCTTTCTTTTTTTACTATTGCAAGGGTATAATTGGCTCCTTGTTGTTCGCTCTCTTTGCATGATGACAATTGTGCGGAGGATTTGATGAGAGCGAAACCAAGTGTGTGGATCTGGATTTTTTTACTGTTGTTTGGGTTTTGTGCGAGCAACGTCTATTGCCGTCCGCAGCTCTACCCGTGCATCAAACCTCAGCGGTAGAGTGTTTTGCTTTGGGCGTGACCCGGAGACCGTATAGTAGGAACAGGCATCACGTCGACTGTAGTGTCTACTGTAGTAATGTGGCCGCCGGCTGATTGTTGTCGATACCGATGTCACCCAGGTTTCCCATCATTTTGCATGGTCCATGGAGCACCTTGTCATGGTGATAGCGTCAAGAGACACGAGCCAGAACGATTTGTGAATAGTGGTTGGCCACTTTCCCCTAGAAGCCACACAACACTTTGTTCGTTGCCGTCTGATCCTTGTTGACATGATTCGCGCGCAAACTAGTTGTGAACCCTCGTCTGCATTTTTCACAGGTTCTCGCTCGCTGTTTCCTAATCCTAGCGCCATGCGAGGCGCCCATGACCCCGATGACTTTGCGGTTCATAATGATATGAAGCGTGTCTGTCTCACTCGCGTTGATAGGATCCAGGTTTGCACTTCACTATTAAGTGCGAGTGAGTGCGGGAGAGGGGAACGCGGTCATCTGTTCAAGCGATTATCGAGTCTCCTGAGGTCCGACGGTGGCTGCGTGTTTGTACCCTACCTGAACTATTGTAATGACGTTGTACACCCAACGCAAAGGAACAAGAGGACTGCCCCTAAGAAGCTCCAACGCATACGTGCGCCAAACTGCCGACGACCTAGTGCTGTGCTGTAGCGATCGTTCATTGCGATACGGGGTTGCTTGATTCGACCTTCGTTTATTACCATCCATCGTCGGCAACGAGCAAGCGCGCATTCAACGCCAGCTCTCGCCCTGGCTGCCGGATCATGTGGTGAAACATTGATAGAGGAGTGAGTCTGTGTGGTGTGACGGGTGCACTATGTGTTTACCCGCGGGGGGATATATTGATTTTCAATGTGTCCGAAGGTACTCCATGCAAAAGTACAACAGCGGTCCGTTGGTTCTGCGCACGGTAGATACAG